TTTAAACCTATACCCTCTAGTTTTGGACTCCCCTGCCCTGGGAAAAAATATTGTCTATTTACCCTTTCCATGCCCCTCATGATTTTATAAACTTCAATAAGGTCACCCTTCAGCCTCCGACGCTCCAGGGAAAATAGCCCCAGCCTATTCAGCCTCTGTCTATAGCTCAAACCCTCCAACCCTGGCAACATCCTTGCAAATCTTTTCTGAACCACCCTTTCAAGTTTCACAACATCCTACCTATAGCAGGATATTCTAGTCACTCGACCATTATGTCACGACCTCCCATCGCAAGATGGTCACAGCAGATGTTTGGCTGATTGTAATCATTGCTGGCACTCCTGGAGCAACCGTATTCCCTAGTTTTACCTCTTGGCTCCTGCAATTGTTCCTTCTTCAGGTAATTATCCAATTCCCTTGGGAAAGCCACAGCTGAATCAGCCTCCAGCACCCTCCCTGACTATATATCTCACACCGGTCCACTCGCTGCGTAAAAGCGGCTATTTCTGACACTGCTTTCTTTTGCCAATCACCTTTAAGTATTGTCCTCAGCTTCTCAATGGCTTCCAACAGTGAGAGCAGTTTCTCTCCATCTGCTCCATTCAGACCTCCTTAAGCAAATCTCTCCTCGGTTTTGCTTTCTCCAAGGAGAACCCTACCAGCTTCTCCAATCCACCCACGAGCCTGAAGTTCCTCATCCCTGAAATCCCATGATTCGTTTTCTAGACCCAGTGGGCCGAGGAAGGCAGGTGGAGTGTAATTTAGACAAATGTGAGGTGTTACATTTTCCTAAGGCAACCCAGGGCAGGACTTATACAGTTAGTAGTAGGGCCTTGGGAGGTGTTGCTGAACAAAGAGACCCAGGGTTTGTAGAAACACAAACATGGAAAAATAGGCGGAGTAGCCATTTGGTCCTTCAAGCCTGCACCAGCCATTCAATATGGTCATGGCTGATCATGCAATCTCAGTATCCCACTCCTGCTTTCTCTCTGTATCCCTTGGTCTCTTTAGCCGCAAGGGCCATGTCCAGCTCCTTCTTCAGGATATGTAATGGACTAGCCCCAACAGCTTTCTGTGGGAGAGAATTCCACAGGTTCACAACTGTCTGACTAAAGAAATTCTTCCACAACTCAGTCCTGAATTACTTACCCCTTTATTCTTAGACTGTGACCCCTAGTTCTGGACTTCCCCAGCATTGGAACATTCTTCCCGCACCTAGCCTGTCCAGTCCTATCAGGATTTTACATGTATCTATGAGATTCCCCCCCTTCATTCTTCTAAATTCCAGCGAATACAAGCCCAGTCAATCCAGTCTTTACTTATATGTCAGTCCTACCATTCTGGGAATCTGTCTGGTGAACCTTCGCTGGAATCTCTCAACAGCGAGAATCCCATTCCTCAGACTACGTCACCAAGACTGCACACAATACTCGAGGTGTAGCCTCACCAAGGCCCTGTATAACTGCAGCAAGACATCCTTACTCCAATACTCAAATCCTCTCACTATGAAGGTCAGCATGCCATTAGCTTTCCGCACTGCCTGTTGCATCTGCATGCCAACCTTCAGTGACTGTTTCACCATGATACCCAAGTCTCGTTGCACCTCACCCTTTCCTAAACTGCCACCATTCAGATAATAATTTGCCTTCCTGTTTTTGTGACCAAAGTGGATAACCTTACATTTATTCACATTATATTGCATTTGCCATGCATTTATCCACTCAGCCAGCCTGTGCAAGTCACCCTGCAGCCTCTTAGCACCCTCCTCACAGCCCACACTGCCACCCGGCTTAGTGTCGTCTGCACATTTGGAGATTGTGTATTCAATTCCTTCGTCCAAATCATTAAGGGTATAGAGTGTACAGCTGGGGTTCCAGCACTGAACCCTGCAGTACCCCACTCGTCATTGCCTGCTGCTCTGAAAAGGACCTGTTTATTCCAACTCCCCGCTTCCTGTCTGCCAACCAGTTCCCTATCCATATCAATACATTACCTCTCATATCATGAGCTTTACTTTTCCTCACTAATCTCGTGTGGAACCTTGTCAAAAGCCTTTTGAAAGTCCAGATACACAACTTCTATTGATTCACCCGTGTCCACTCTACTGGTCACGTCCTCAACAAATTCCAGAAGGTTTGTCGAGCATGATTTCCCTTTAGTGAATCCATGCTGACTCGGTGACGATTCTGTCACTGCTTTCCAAATGCTCAGTTATTATGTCCTTAGTGATTGACTCCAGCATTTTCCCCACCATCAATGTCAGGTTAACCAGCCTATAGTTGCCCATTTCCTCTCTTCCCTCCTTTCTTTAATAAGTGGGGTAACATTAGCTACCCTCCAGTCCATTGGAACTCTTCCAGATCTACAGTATGCTGGAAAATGATCACCAATGCATCCACTATTTCCAGGGCCACTTCCTTAAATACACTGGGATGCAGAGCATCAGGACCTGGGGAATTATCAGGGTTTTAATCCCATCGATTTCCCCAATACCATTTCCTGACTAATAAGGATTTCCTTCAGTTCCTCCTGTATGCTTGACCCTCTATCCCCTCGCATTTTCTGAAGGTTATTTGTGTCCTCCTTAGTAAAGACCGAGCCAAAGTATTTGTTCAGCTGGTCGGCCATCTCTTTGTTATCCGTTATGAATTCACCTGATTCTAAGTGCAAGGGACCTACATCTGTCTTCACCAGTCTTTTTCTCTTCACATATCTATGGAAGCTTTTGCAGCCAGTTTTTATGTTTTCCACAAGCTTACTTTCATATTCTATTTTCCCTTTCCGAATTAAACCCTTTGTCCTCTCCTGCTGAATTTCAAATTTCACCCAGTCCTTAGGATTGCTGCTTTTTCTGGCCAATTTATGTGCCTCCTCTTTTGGCTTTAACACTAACCCCAAGTTTCCCTTGTTTTCCGCGGTTGAGCCGCCATCCCTGTTTTACTTTTACGCTAGATAAGGATGTACAATTGTTGAAGTTCATCCATGAGTATTTTAAGTGTCTGCCATTCCCTAAACACCGTCGACCCTTTAAGTATCCTTGGCCAGCTTATCCTAGCCAATGCATGCCTCTTACCGTCAAAGTTATCTTTCTTTAAATTCACCGCACAAGTTTCAGATTTAACTGTGTCACTCTCCACCTTAATGAAGAATTCTACCATATCATGGTCACTCTTCCCCAAAGGATCTCACACCACAAGGTTGCAAATTAATCCTCTCATTACACAGTGCCCACTCTAGGATGGCCTGCTCTCTAGTTGATCGTCAACATATTGGTTAAGGAAGCCATCCCTCATACATTCCAGGACATTCTCCTCCATCGCATTGCTACCAGTTTGGTTAGTCCAATCATTGTGTCGATTGAAGTCACCTATAATATCTGCTGTACCCTTACTGCATACATCTCTAATTTTCTGTTTGATACAGTCCCCAACATCACAACTACTGTTTGATGGTCTGTACACAATTCCCACGAAAGTCTTTTTCCCTTTGGTGTTCCGCAGCTCCGCCCATACTGATTCCACATCGTCCAGGCTAATGTCCTCGCTTACTATTGTGTTAGTCTCCTCCTTAACCAGCAACGCTACCCCACCTCCCTTTCCTTTCTGTCTATCTTTCCCAAAAGTTGAATTACCGTCGAGGTTGAGTTCCCATCCTTGGTCACTCTGGATCTAGGTCTCCATGATGCCAATTACATCATATCCATTAATAACTATCTACACAGTTAATTCATCCACCTTATTACAAATACTCCTCGCATTGAGACACAGAGCCTTCAAGCTCATTTCTTTTTTTGACATTTATTGCCCTTTTAGAATCGTTGTGAAATGTGGCCATTTTTGATTTTTGTCTATGGTTTCTCTGCGTTTCACTTTCACTTTTTCCCCTTACTGTCTTTTGTTTCTGTCCCTACTTTCCTTCCCTCCGACTTCCTCCATTAGTTCCCATCCCCCTGCCGTGTTAGTTTAAACCCTCCGCAACAGCTTTAGCAAACACTGTCCCCAGGACATTGGTTCCAGTCCTGGCCAGATGCAGACTGTCTGGTTTGTACTGGTCCTACCTTCCCCAGAACCGCTTACAAACTCCCAGGAATTTGAATCCCTCCCTCTTGCACCACCCTTCAAGTCACGTATTCATCTTAGCTATCCTGCCATTCTGAATCTGAGTAGCACGTGGCACTGGTAGCAATCCCAAGATTACTACTTTTGAAGTGCTACTTTTGAGTTTAACTCCTAACTGCCTGAATTCAGCTTGTAGAACCTCATCACTCTTTTTACCTGTATCGTTGGTGCCTATAAGCACCACGACAGCTGGTTGTTCACCCTCCCCCTCCAGAATGTCCTGCAGCTCCTCCTGAGACATCCTTGACCCTTGCACCGGGCAGGCAACGTAACATCCTGGACTCACGTTTGCAGCCACAGAATTGCTATCTATTCCCGTTACAATTGAAGCCCCTCTCACTATAGCTCTACCACTATTTTTCCTGCCCTCCTGGGCAGCAGAGCCAGACACAGTACCATGAATCCGGCTGCTGCCACCTTCCCCAGGTGAGCCATCTCCCCCTACACTATCCAAAACGGTGTATCTGTTTTGGAGGGAGGTGATCACTGGGGACGCCAGCACTACTGTCCTGCTCTTCCTCTGTCTGTTGGTCACCCATTCCCTACCTTTCTCAGCAATTTTTATCTGAGGTGTGGCTAACTTATGGAACGTGCTATCCACGATTCCCTAAGCCTCGCGGACATTCCAAAAGCGAATCCTGCCGCGGCTCCAGAGCCATCAAGCGGTCAACAGGAGCTGCAGCTGGGGACACTTCCTGCCCATGAATGAGTCCAGGCCATCAGTACGGTCCCCTGAGTTCCCACATTGCACAGCAGGAGGAGCATGAGACGGGTCAGGGATCTCCTGCCACTACTTAACCCTCAAATTAACAACAGCGGCAAAGCGAAGAGAAAAATAAGACAGAAGAGAAACTACTCATCAGTCACCAGCCACTCACTTACCTGCTGCCTGTGACTTCACGATTAAACTTGCTTCTGATTCTCCTTTACCCTCATGTCTTCAGGAGCTGCAGTAGTTTGCTCCTCTTCCGACTGCCTTACCTCACTGCTGTTTGACCTCCTCACTGGTATTCACTTAAGCCTACACTGAAAACCTCCAGCAGCACTTCCACCCCAAAATGGCCGCTCCGCTAAAGCTTGCCTTCCTCTTATTCACTCCTGGGCAGTCGCTGGTGACTGAGACGACTCCTCCCAGAATCCTTCTCAGCAGTGCCCTCTGTTTGGGTGCATAGTTCCGTGAAAGATGCGTCACAGGTAGACAGGGTGGTCAAGAAGGTGTTCAGCCACTTAGCTTCATTGCTCAGAGCTTTGAGTATAGGAGTTGGGACGTCATGTTCGGTTGAACAAGACGTTGGTGAGGCCTCTTTTGGAATACTGCACGCGGTGCTGGTTGCCCGGTTATAGGAAGGCTATTAAACTGGAAAGGGTTCAGAAAAGATTTACAAGGACGTTGCTGGGAATGGAGGGTTTGAGTTATAAGGAGAGGCTGGGACTTTATTCACTGGAACATAGGAAGTTGAGGAGTGACCTCAGAGGTTTATAAAATCATGAGGGATATTGATAAAGTGAATCGCATGTGTTGTTTCCCTAGGGTGGGGGATTTCAAGACTAAGGGGGGCATAGTTTTAAGGTGAGAGGAGAAAGATTTATTATTCAATTGGAGAGGGTTCAGATTTACAAGGATGCTTCCGGGGACTGAAGGGTTTGAGTTATAGGGAGTGGCTGAATAGGCTGGGGCTTTTTTGTCCCTGAAGTGTCAGAGGCTGAGGGGTGACCTTTAAAGAGGTTTCTAAAATCATGAGGGGTGTGGATAGGGTGAATAGTCAAGGTCTTTTTCCGAGGGTGGAGATGGGGAGAGGGAGTCCAAAACTGGAGGACATGAGTTTAAGGAGAGAGAGGGATATGATTTAAAAAGTACCCGAGGGGTAGCTTTTTCACACAGAAGGTGGTGCATGAAAGGAAGGAGCTGCCAGAGGAAGTGGCAGAGGGCGGGTACAAATTACAACATTTGAAAGGCATCTGGATGGGTACATGAATAGGAAGGGCCAAATGCTGACGAATGGGATTAGGTCAGATTGGCTGTCTGGTCAGCGCAGAGGGTTTGGACAAAGGGTCTGTTTCTGTGACTCTATGGACACTCTCTACTGCCTTCACATCCTTTTGAAACTGTAGTGCCTGCATTTGAACACAACACTCCCACATGACAGGGAGTAAGAATATCACAAAGGTTCAGCTTGACTCCCTTGCTTTTCTGTTTTTTGTCTCCATTAAGAAAGCCAAGGATACCACAAGATTTTCCAACAGCCTGTAAAGGTGCACTGAAGGGCCAATCGGGCATATGTAAACCTGAAAGCCAACAAGGACTTGGCACACAAATGGTCAAACATCGTTTGTTTATTTAACAGAGCCGGATTATTGATCTCCGGGTCGTTTATTGAGCTCATTAACAGAAGCAGAAGCAGAAGCAGAGCCAGCTGTCACAGAATGAAGCTCGGTTCTGCCCTGGATGTTTCAAACAGACGCAATAACAGCAGAATCCAACCCCTTGTACACTCGTTGGTGGCTGAGCGTGGGAGGAGACGGAGTCCCTTCCCACCTGGGAGCAGGGAAACTGCCTCTCTCCCGTGTCATCATCACATCACAGCAGATTCAACAACTGTCAAACCTCTTCGCACAGCGAGAGCAGCTGAATTACAACCCACTCAGTGTGAAGTCATAGAATCCTTACAGTGTGGAAACAGGCCATTCAGCCCAGCAAGTCCACACTGACTCTCCTCCTCCCTACCCTATTCCTGTAACCCTGCATTCCCCATGGCTAATCCACCTAGCCTGCACATCCTGGGCAGCTTAGCATGGCCAATCCATCTAACCTGCACTTCTTTGGACTGTGGGAGGAAACCCGAGCACCCGGGGGAAACCCACGCAGAATGTGCAAACTCCCCACAATCGCTCGAGGGTGAAATCGAACCTGGGTCCCTGGCGCTGTGAGGCAGCAATGCTAACCACTGAGCTACCAGCTCATTCAACCTTTAAAAGTCACCACTAGCACATTAGGCCATTAAAAGGAAGGGTCTCCAATTGTTGTGGCAGCTTTGGTGTCTCCGGAGATTGGACGAGCGGATGAAACCCTTCCTGCACACGCTGCAGGTGAACGGCCTCTCCCCAGTATGAACCCGCCTGTGCCTACGTAGGGTGGATGAATCACTGAATCCTTTCCTGCGCTCTGAGCAGGAGAATGGCCTTTCCCCGCTGTGAAGACACTGGTGTGTCTCCAGCATACAGAGATCACCAAACCCCTTCCAACACTCGAGCCAGGTGAACGGTCTCTCCGCAGTGTGACTATGACAGTGATTTTCCAACAGGGAGAGGCAATTGAATCCCTTATCAGACTCCCACATTTAAACCTTTTCTCCATGGTGCAGATGTCTTTGAGTCTCACCAGTTTCTTGGATGATTCACTTCAAGATTCATTCAATGTGTGGTCAGTTTCATGCCACTGTGAACGATGTGATGGTTTTCCAGTCTGTGTGACTGTCAGTGGACTTCAGCAGTCGGGTATACGTCTGTGTGTATCTCGCTCCCTTTCCAATTGCACTGCGATTTGAAATCTTTTCACACACACAGACATGTTTCCTTCAACACTTAAAGGCCAACTCTATCCAGGTTCTGATCAATCGTGGCATTCTGGATGCAGACGTTGGTTTGAGATTCCCACCTGAAATTCTCCCCCTCTGTGACCCTATCTAAAAAAACAAGTTCTGTATAAGGTCATCACCGCAGGTAGAGGGTAGAAATTCACAGAAAGCAATTCGAGTTCCTGCAAGAGTTTCCCCCAACCCTTACAAATCTTCCCTGACCACCTCCCTCCTTGTTGAGGGTTCTGCCTTCCCCAATTCACAGAATCATAGAATTGTACAGACCCTTCGGTGCAACTCGTCCATGCCAACCAGATATCCTACATTAATCTAGTCCTATTTGCCAGCATTTGGCCCATATCCCTCTAAACTTTTCCAATTCATGTACACATCCAGATACCTTTTAAATGTTGTAACTGTACCAGCCTCTGCCACTTCCTCTGGCAGCTCACTCCAGACATGCACAACCCTTTGTGTGAAAAAGTTGCCCCTTAAGTCCCTTTTAAATCTTTCTCCTCTCACCTGAGAGCAATGCCCTCTAATTTTGGACTCCCACACCCCCTGAGAAAAGACCTTAGATATTCACTATATCCATGTCCCTCACGATTTTGTAAACCTCTGTAAGGTCACCCCTCAGCCTCTGATGCTCCAGGGAAATCAGCCCCAGCCTATCCAGCTTCTCCCTATAAGACCAACTCTACACACCTGGCAACATCCATGTAAATCTTTTCTGAACCCTTTCAAGTTTCACAACATCCTTCCAAAACCAGGGAGACCAGAATTGCACACAGTATTCCAAAAGTGGCCTAACCGATATCCCTGTAGAGCCGCAAAATGACCTCCCAACTCCTATACTCAAGGCACTTACCAATAAAAGCAAGCACAGCAAACGCCTTCTTCACTATCCTGTCTACCTGCGACTCCACTTTCAAGGAACTATGAACCTGCACCCCAAGGTCTCTTTGTTCAGCAACACTCCCCAGGACCTTACCATTAGGTGCATAAGTCCTACCCTGATTTGCCTTTCCAAACTACAGCACCTCACATTGATCTAAATTAATCTCCATCTCCTACTCTTTGGCCCATTGGTCCAACTGAGCAAGATCCCGCTGTACTCTGAGGTAACATTCTTCACTGTCCATGACACCTCTGCCCCCTCTGGGGAAGATCCCTTTGCCTGGCCCCGCCCCATTCGGAAATGATCTTTCGTATGGTCCACCTCCTCAGAGGTGAATCCGATTTCCCGACCCCGCCCACTCCGGACGATTTCCCTTCCGGCCACGCCCCTTTGGAGGCGGAACCCATTGTTTGGCCCCGCCTCCGCCGGTGCGTCCCATTGACAGGCACGCCCACTTCGCGTTGCCTGGCCCCACCCCTTCCGGTTTAATCTTTCTGGTGGTTGTGTAGGGGCCCCGAGGGCTGAAGAGCCGCAGGATGGTAGGCCCAGAGACCGAGGAGGAGGAGTGGGGTGTGTGCGGAAAGCCGCTCAGGACGTCAATGGACATCTCGGGGGGGGGGGAGGAGGGGGTAGGGTTGCGGAAAGAGAGGAGCTCCTTCAAGGTAAACGGTGAACGTGCCTTTTCCCCTCGCGACAAACCGAGCCGTTGCCATGGCAACCGAAAGAGCTGTGGATACTGTAAATCAGGAACAAAAACAGGAACTTGCCATAAACGGAGGTGCTGAGGAAGGGTCACCGGACCCGAAACATTACCTCTCAGTTTTTTTCTTCACAGATGTTGCCAGACCTGCTGAACCTCGCCAGAACTTCGGTTTTCTGTTCCGTTACCATGGGAACAGGTCGCCATCTTGAGGGCTGGAGGCTGCGTTCAGGACGCATGCGCCGCCGCCACAAACGCTGGGCGGGGCTTCTGGATCAATGGTTCCCAACTTCGGACCTGAAGCCCAGGAGGGACATTCCTCATTTCCAGTTAAGTTCATTCTCACTCTGCTCCTGGAACAGAGACATGTAGACAGCAGTTAGAGTTGTACAGCACGGACCCTTCGGTCCAACCTGTCAATGCTGACCAGATATCCTGAATTAAATCTAGTTCCATCTGCCTGCATTTGGCCCATATCCCTCTTAAACCCTTCCTATTCATGTACCCATCCAGATACCTTTGAAATGTTGTAATTGTACCAGCTTCCAATACCTTCTCTGGCAGCTTGTTCCATACACATACCAAACCTCTGCGTGAAAAAGTTGCCTCTTATGCCTTTCCCCTCTCGCCTCCTTAAACCTTTACTCTCTAGTTTTGGACTGCCCTATCCTGTGAAAAAGACCTTTGTTATTCACTCTATCCATGTGCCTCATGATTTTATAAACCTATGCCCTCTAGTCTTGGACTCCCCTGCCAAGATCCTTTTCCCAGTTGTGATTCTGTGGTTGGACTGTTTGCTAATTACTCCTGATTGCTAAGAGTTACACTGACAACCAATTTAAGATTGTCACCTGGGCTAGCAGTTTGGTGCATTTGGACGTATTGGAAGGTTCTGCATATTAATCCACAGGGCCCTGTTCTCAGCAGACACAAAGCGCATACACACATTGCATCTGGTTCAACTCAACAAAGTAGGTATAAGCCAATCTCTGATTTATTCCACAAGACAATGCCTCGGCCAACCAGAGTCAGACTGCCTGGTTTAAATCTAAACAAAGCTCAGCAGTTAACTGTCAGTCATCATTTGTGCTTCTCAATGGCAACATCGCTATCATTCTCAATTCACTCGCCAAATAATCAGCATGATCTTCTCATATCGTGTAAAATGCTTTTCC